ATAATTACAGGTGCACACACACACACTCTCAACGCCAAATGGAATAATAAAGCATTTGATCACTTTTGCTTTAACATCCACGCGAGACGTACACTCTTGCATTGTGCTGCGAGAAGGAGAACTAAACACTCACGTTAAAATCGCATCCCAATCAGGATCGTTACATCAGCGATATTTGCCCGGATATACCTCTCGCACAATCAAATAAAATATAGATGCACGGTAAGTAATAGAGAACAAATGTATATAAAGATGCGTAATTATAGGCGAGGTGATTGCAGAAGAGAGTACATCCCGAACTTAAAAGTATTTATCCATACTACAAAGATGGCAAACGATTATACGCATTGAAATAAGTGCGTCGAGGTTAGTCAAGTTTTAGAGGAGTGAGATGTACATTCAATAACAGGAGGATCCACGAATGCATCTAATACAGATTGATGATAGGCCTATTAGGCGCTATGTCGACGTTTATGCTTGTACGCGGTGGTACTGAGAGCGAGAGTTTACACAGGTGTATCGACCTTGTCTCTCTTAACTACGTGTCCGTCTATACCTATGTGTTGTTCTGTAAAATTTGATCATGCAAAGCGATTCATCAGAAGGCGATTATGCATTCCCGATGTAAGCATCGTTGCTGCATATATATAAGTGCACGCGCGCGTGTATGTGTGTAACGCGTCCAGTTACTTCATTGTTGCCATTAACCGCTAACCCAATTATAAATCTCCATAGCGCTCGACGCTGCAACGGACGAAAAAAATTAAAAAAACAAGTACGCGGCCGTCCCGTGGATTATTTGCCAACATCCATATCCATTCGCCGGTGCAAATGACGCTGCGCGTTATTACTTTAACGTGGGCATCATTAATATGAAAATAGCATGGTTTCACTGTCATAACTGTTTTCATTTTTTCCAATTTGTACATGTGCTGCACTTTCGAACGACTACATGAATAAGAAAGAAAAAGAAAGTGAGATTACGTAAAAAGCTTTTTTACACAGAAGCATTATCTGCGTGCGCGTAACGAAACATTAGTGGATGAATGTAGTACAAAGCAAACAGCCCTGTTACAATCGCCTTACACGCTGTAAAGCTATGCGCGAAGGATCAAGGATTGTTCGTGCCGACACGTTTATACACACAGAGCTCCGCGAGATACAAACTTATTATTAAACGATCACGTAATCGCTGTTTACTCTATGAATTCCTATAGTAACAGCGGCTCCTTTTACTCGGATTAACTTTTTACGCTTTGTGATCTTTCAAACTATAAAATTCTGCTCCAGAAATCCTAACCGATAATTCCAATCTGAATTGATTGCATTTGAAGAGTATCCTCATATAGATCTTTCATTTTTAGATATGTGTGTATTGAAAAAAGATAGTAAAACAGTACAGTATTAAATAGCATAAGCGTAAAAATGTGCTTGTAGGAATAGCTAGCGATAGGCGTTAAAAAAAGTGAGTTAAAAACTATGCTTAACTTTGTTTAACTTTATTTACTTACGCAAAGAACTAACAACAGAAACGAAAGTTTTTTTAGGAATACGGACTGTTGAAGTAGCAGCTAGCATTGACCGCCTAACATGTACAATCGGTGGCTATCGCGAGGACAATTACAGACCATCGGAATATATGTGTGCGCGTGCATATAGAGCCAACGTAGGCGCAAGCTCCAACTCTTAGTGTCTGTGTGGTTGTGCAAACACAGCCTCGTGCGTTCACACACAGCGAGGTTCACTCTCACATGAAACACATGTCGATACGGCCACATAATGGGAACATAACCGCGCGCACGTCGAGCGTCGGCCGCCTGCCGGAGTATTTAGGTGTCATGGTGTCAGTGGTTAATTGCACATAATTGGTCATTGTCGGTACAGGCTCGCGCATGCGCGACGCACGTCAAACACGCAGCTCCAAACGCGCCTATGTCGCTCCGAATACTTGAGTTGTTCAAAGGATAGATATACGAGTAGAGGCTGCACGAACAAGAGAAAGAGTAACAGATGCCAATAAATTACGTGCCTCGAGTTCGCGTTTACTTATTCCCGGATATTGCACGGCAACGTCGAGACAACGAGGATGGATGTAACACGAAGAACAGGGGGTAGGATGAAAAAGCTTTGGCTTGGATAACGGCAAATGGCTTGTTTAAGATAGACAGGAAATGAGCCAGTCCGGCAGAGCCAGATACACAAAGAGGATTTATAGAATAATAACGACGCGATGAAAAAAGACTATATAGACTATATAGGTTCTCGGCTGGCATGCCGGCTATATATGTACGACAAAGAGCATATTGAAATGCGCAATCTATGCAACAGAAAGCGAGAGAGAGAAAGAACGATAAAAGCGACAAATAATGTACAGGAAGAATTTAATCGCACCGTATTCCTTTCGCATTATTCCTCTCGTTTGTATTGCTCTCTCACACTGTCGCCTCCTTTTTTGGTTTCCTTTTTACTTGATATGCATCACTGTCCGCGAGATTGAGTATTTTACTTGCAATAAATTTTTACAGGTGTCACTTTATCAGTTTAAGCAGAAAATTTAACAAATGCATTTTACGTATTAATTTGGACCTCAAATATGTTCGTGTTATTATAATAATCGGTTGGTTTTGATCATTGAAAAAAAACACAGCATAACAAATACAATACGAACTTTTTTGAATCTCGATCATCGATCGGTTTATTTTGAATATGTCCATGATATTTTCATTGTAAAGAATTTCAACTTTATCGTTACATATACCTGTAATAGGACATGTAAAACTGTAATTACTACAGCGTCACAAAACATATTGGCAGTTCAATTTTCAATTAAGTTCAGTTTGATACGTCGTGAAGAGAAAACATCGATGGAATCATAAAATCAACGTCTTTTTCCAGCAGCGGCAAGAAAAAAAATGAACAGATTAATCTCGAAGCAGATTTTTCAACTCTTCAATTACATCGCAATTACGTCGACGCGAGAGTTCGAAAAAGAGCGAGAGAGCGTCGAACGAAATAATGAATTCAATGCAGCCAGTGATTCACAAGTGGCGGCATTCCCTGCCGGCTTACGAATAAAGCAGAAAATGTACGTACTTGAAATTTCAGCGGCTCTAAAGAGTATAGAGCTCCCCCGCGATTTTGCAATTTGGCTCGGTCTGCGCCAGCGCCATCGCCAGCGCCTGCGGCAACGGCACCAGCAGCAGAGCGATATCGTTTGCGAATCGTGAAGGCGTAAAAATTACACTCGGAGATGAGAGAGAACAGGTGCAGAATCGAAGGCTAACTGCAACGAGAGAAACAAAAGGAAAGAAATAAAACAGACACGCGTCAGCGAGAAGCAAGAGAGGAGGTAAAATCTGGCACGAGAGAAGGATTTCCCGCGGATTATCCAGCGGCAGCTGCTCTCTCTCTCTCTCTCTCTCTCTCTCTCTCTCTCTCTCTCTCTCTCTCTCTCTCTCTCTCTCTCACTGGCGCGAAGAAAGGAAATCAATATTCGAAACGCGGCGAGTCACGAGCGCAATTACATTTCGCTACACGTCATCGCGCCGCGTGGAAATGGAAAAAAGAGAGAGAGTGAGCCGCAGTATGAGAGCGTCTCTCTGCGGACGCGTCCGATAGAAAAATCGGCGACCTCCCCGCGAGTACGAGAGAGAAAGCTCTTTCTCTCGCTCTTCTTCGTTATTCGCGTTTCTGCCGCGCGCGTATAATGTACCGATTCTCTAGCGCATGAAAGAACTTTTTAAATCGTCCAACAGCCACAATTCCACGCCCGCGCCACTTCCCAATGAAAATCACGTTTTAAATTCGCTGCTGCTGCCTGTGTGGCCCGGCTTCCAGCCATCCCTTTATCCCTCTTGCTTTCTGTCTTGGTTCTCCGCTCGTCATTTCTCTTCTCACTTGTCGGTATACTGCAGCTGCAGCCAAAATTTTCCAACCAGACCGCGCAAGTCGATCAACATTGTAGAATCTTTCCACGATATACTTTCGACGATTACCATATCTCCCCTATTCTTGTACAGGCCATATGAATTCGGTTTTGGCGCCCACGAACGCTGCGGCGCTTAAAGAGAAGTGAAGCGCGCAAGGCCGATAGCGCTCGATGAACCTCAAAGCGGAAATCTATTAAACGGCAACTAAAGCATCCGCAGTCCCGCAGTTGTGCTCGCGCACACACGCGTACACCTACACACAAATATTTCATTTCGCTTACTGCAAAACCAAAACAGAGCCAATAACACACGTTCATAACATACATACACGTGTGCGGGTGTGAGGCCAAATCGAATCATATAAATTATTCCATTACGATAACCGCGAAGCGAATTTCGTCAGACAGCTATATGTGCGGTACACGTAGCAATCGACCAATTTTTGCCCCTCTCCAGCTGGTACTCACTGGGCCTAGCCTATGTCCGCGTATTTTTCCCTTTCTCTCGATGGTGCGATTCAATTGATTCTCTCCGCTATGGGCGTGTGTCTCCCCTTCCCGGCTGCGTGCCACAGATATGCTATCCCCCGATAATCGATGATAATGCGATGACGCGATGCGCTTGGCTGGTATACGTGTGACCTTGACATTGGACCAATTAGCGCGAGAGAACGTCGACCCTCGCTTACGTAAACAGACTGCTTGCATGTGCATGCGTGTGGGTGAACAGTCTAAACACTGTGCATGCTGGAGAGGAATGCCAGCGCCGTCCGAGAGGTAGAGAGAGAGAGAGAGAGAGAGAGAGAGAGAGAGAGAGAGAGGCAGAGTCTATGAGCTCACACCGGTTATATAGGCCTTTAGCCTATGTATACTGCCGATTCGGAAACGTCAAACTGCACCTCAGCTATGCCTACGCTATTCGCCTGCTGCCACTGTCCTGTCTGTGTTTGTGCACTTTGCCACCTAGGTGCGCATGGACATATCGTCGACTAATAGCATCTAAATGGTACAAGCAATGCTGCAAGTCGACTTCGAGTCGCGAATATTAGCTTTTTTTAAATGAACATGCGGCTGCCAAAAGAGTTTATTGAAAACCTTAACGATGACTAGACATTCAAAGAAAGAATAAAAGGATTAGAATAAAATAACGAGATAATTATCAAATAACAATGGAATAATTTGGAATTTAATGTTCTGCAGGGCAATCAATTTGGTTTGTCTTGATGAAGAATCTTCGACTGATATCATTCTTATCTAGAGCTTGATAAGCTTTTTCTATGACAGCGATAGATGAGTTTCGTTGCCTCGTTAAAATCCATGCGAACCTTATACTGGAGAATTAAAATATTTTACCGACTTGAAATTTAGCAAGATAATTATAATTAGTTGAATACCTGAAGACACTGGCTATATCGGTGCAGCTCCACACAACGGCATATGATGTATAATCAGTGTCAAGCACCCAGTAAGAGCCTTCAATTTTTGATGCAGTCGGAAAGACTACCGTCAATTTGGCTTTCTCTGACGATTTCTGCATAGCGTAACCTACAATGCTTGATTCTATTCCAGTTCTTAATTGAAAGAAACACATTTCATACAAATAAATATTTACTTTTTATAATTCAATTCACTTTTGAAAAAATAAAATGCTACTCGCACTTACAAGACTGAAATTTGCTTGTTGAGAACACTCACAGTCCCATTGTCTTCAGAACTATAGTCTGCGGTGACACATTTTCCTGTTATTTCGAAAATAGCGAAGTAACGCTCGGCTTCGTACCACTTTCCGAGGTACTGGAAAATAGAAAAAGTAACCTTTATTCATAAGCACATCACTTCTTTTAATTCACACAGTATAAAATGTTTGAACTTCTAACTTGAGTAAAACTATTGTATTCTTCTGAATATAAAAATAACAAATTTACGGCAAACCAACATTTGTGCACATAACTATTTTGCACGTAAACTTTTGTGCACATGCATTAAAGTTGATATATAGATATACTGTGCCATATTATATTGCGTACAATAATTCATGTGGAAAATAGTTCTGTGCACAAATGTCGGCTTGCCAAATTTATTACATGCATTGTATAAATTTACCTTTCCAACATCGAAGTTTGGCACAACTTGCACATTCGGACATTTCCCTGGTATAGGAACTTGAGCTACTGTACTACTAATAATGAATATTCCCAACAGCATAAACTTCATCTTGGCGTTATATCAGCATAAACTGTTTAGTCCACCGTCATCGTGATTCTTTTACAAGCGAAATATGAATGTTATCAGACTTGCATAACAACTTGCTTATACCATATTTTGCAACTGTCATTGCGATAGCAAGTACTTCAATATTATTATTTGCAAGTGATAAGATGTTTGCAAAAGTCTGATTAGTATGTGCCTTATAAAACACCATTCGTAGTTAAGCACTGAATAATAGTCACTTGTGATTAATTAATTCCCCAGTAATCGCTGCACACAGCATTCAACTAATATTTCGCAGCATCTATCGACTTTACTTTTGCAGTATCCATTTTGTTTATCAACAAGCTATATTCCCTCGTGGATCCGCGCGCGAGGCAGCGGCAGCTATCGATAAAGCTACCTAAAAACTATGCGCAAGTCCATAAAACCACGGAAAAAGCGATAAAAAACACAAAGCTAGCAACATCGGAAAGCCATCGTTACACGTGGAAAAGACGTCAAGAGCTGTGGTAGGCCATCTCGACGCTGTGGACCGAGCGGCTGAAAAAAGCAACCAAGAACAAGACGAGAATAAGGCGCCTGTGGCCGGCCACTACGCGACAAAGTGCGCCGACCACGTGTGCATCGACATTAAAAATAAGAGCAAGTGAGATACGGAACGTGAGCCGCGCACCATGTATACGCGTACGGGTGATTTAAAGCCGAAAAGTGATTCAGAGAGATCTGCTCTGCGCTGTCAATGGCCAATATTACGCGGCCGTTGCCATTAAACATCTGCACATAGCGCGACGCAGCTGCCGGAGTGTGAGCGAGAGAAATTTCCATGGCAACGCGGGTGCGTAGTAACAATCGTACTTTACTGGCCACCTGATGATGTACGTAGACTTTGATGGCTTTTATGCGGCGCGCAACGATGGCCAGCTGCGTGATGAGAGAAATGATGACGGTACATAGGCGCACGGATGGAAAAAGCTCGCGCGCGCGCAAGCCTCATGACTGTGGCGCTTCGCGCACGGCTAAGTGATTTTTAACGTTTTTCGCGAAATTATGCGACTACAGCGACGGCGCTGGCGCCAAGTTGAGTACCGCCGCTATAAAGATATCAACCGGGCGAACCCACTTTACTTGCAATCACACTGTGGATAAAGTTTGCACCGAAATAACCGAATCGCACGAGGCCGCTAGTTTGGTGGTGCGAGAAAATCCAAATGCTCTTGTGAGCCCTAGCAACTATCGATAAGCTAGTTTGCACGAAAAAGAAATAGAATGCCGAGCCACATCAGCATCCAAGCGTATGGCTATCACTGAAAATCCATCTCCGCTCACTCTCTATCGCACAGCAATAATGTCACGGCAATCTCTCGATGTAACACACACAAATTAACACGTGCGCGAAAAAAGTAGCAGGTGACTAGCAGCCGTCAATAGCAATACACGGTCGGTCAAAAGATATGTCTGAAAAAACGAGTATCGCATCTTGGATAATACAATCAAAGTCCATCGCGTGTAATGGCTCATTCAGGATGACGCTGGCACGCCTGTGTGGTGGGCTATCGGTGTCAATCCAATCAATGCTTTATTAAGCGATGTGCGCGCGTGTCAGAGAGAGAGAGAGGGAGAGAGAATGAGAGGGGGGAAGGGGGAGAGGCAACAACTCGTTTGTTTGGCGGTCGACGATGAAAGTGAGGGAGAGATGCGATGGATAGATAGAGGAGAAGCGAAAGAAGCGACGAACACATACGCACACACATCAGTTCGCATTGTGTTTCTCTCTGTGTGTACGCTCTGACTTATCGGTTATTGGAAATCTGTGTTTTTGTAGGGCACAAGAGCGAAGTCACAGCCAATAGGTCAGACAGAAGGAGAGGGCCCGTGTCTTTGATTTACCGACGACTAGCTCTCGCCCTCTCTATGGATTATGCACCGCTCGGATCATTAAGCGCTGATCTCGACAACCCCTTGGTTAATTGTTGTGTGAATGTACTTTGGTTTAGCGGCATCCCGTGTCTGCAGTGGATTTACGCTTTGAAGCTCATTTGCTATATCCGGTTAATTACGTCGATATGCGGGCTCATTCAAATTTTTGCAAATAAAAGCTGAAGATTAGTGGTTCACCGTCACAAAGATGTACAGTTGATTGTGCATATATCCAAAAGCGCAATTAACCGTCAACATTTTTTTATCGCCTACTCGAACACTCATACGTCGTTAAATATTGTTCTTTTGCCACACATATTCCGATAATCATCAGCTGAAACAGTCTGTCCTGCATGACATGAATTCTAGCGTGTTCCTAGATATAGTGATCCTTGCGTGCACGCACGGCATTAATTAGTGACAATAGTGATATCTTCTGCCCGCGACAATGGACTTTGAAATTCTTCGGACGTTTTCTCTTTTTGCGCGTAAACACATTTGTAACGTGCTTACGTGTAATTATATATAATTGAAGAAATAACTATTTCAACGAAATTACTTATTGTTTTCTAACGATAGAAACTAGTAAAGAAAAAGACAAGCGTCGGTATATATTTACGAACAATTTATCCTCGTGAATGATGGTCTTGTCTATTTTACCTAGATATCAAAACACTCTTTGAGTCGGCGAGCAGAACAAATTCATAGGAAAATATCCATGGGAGAACACATCGGTTTTATACCTCGTTCCACCTAGTCAAGTTAAATGACAAGGTGTCCAGGACATAAAACGATCGCTTGCCCTCCTCGCTATATAGCTACGCGCACGCGTGTGTGTATAGAGAGCGCAGCTCGTCGTCGCTCAAATGTCCTGTTTAAAGAGGTCCAATTTTACAAGGCGCCAATCTCATTAGCTTACCTCGCGTCTGTCGCCGCTCTACCTCGATACATACCTCCTTGTATACAAACATACATACATACATCAGGCTGTCTCTCGATAAATCGTGAGTTTCTTTCTTTTGTGCTCTCGATACTTTAGGAAATTCGGTTCGTATGGGTCACATTTGCTTTAGTTACCCGCGCGCTTCAATATTCCACTTGAAAATTTTCACTGCCGCGTAATATATATAGTGAACACCAAATAAGATATTTTTTCTTCTCAAGAATGCATTTGTAATCCACGCTCGTATGCGTCAATTATCAATTATGAAGAATGCCAACGACCCTGCAGCTCAAAATTAATAATAATCAAAGAGAAAATATGCATAAAGTTTTTTATTAACCATTCAAGCGAATTGATTGCACGCATAATTACACAAGAGCGAGAGAGAGAGAGACAGACAGACTAGCAAGTGGCAAAAATGAAAAGTGACCTGTCGGAAAGTGTATTACTACGAATAAAAAAGTTTAAACCATTCCCTCATATATCTCTTTTTTCTCGTTTTTTTAAACGAAAACAAAAAAAAAACAAGCAACTCTTTTCTATCGTCACTAGTACACACGTCTCATCCGTACACATCTTTTGACTTGTTAAATTTTGTTCATTTGCAAATCTAGTGGAAAGTTGTTCCGCGAAAAAAAGACATAAAAATGTTGTTGCCACGCGTGGGCAGATAATACTTTCCTCATTAGTATGCATGAGCGCGAGAGAGTTTTTTTTTGGTCGTCGTCCTTTGGATTCGCAAAATGGCATGCATTTTGCAACTTCTATCAACTTTCGCATGATGTGAAAATTGTGCTCGCGAAACGGACATTATATGCAGATCATTGTCTATGCTCGAAAGACCCACTTGCAACGGTAAAAAAAGAATTGATACGTCGAACTTTCACTTTTTTCCGATGGAATAAAAAATTCTAACAATGCAGAATCAAATGTCAATCGAGAAAATCAACGCACAGTCATAATAAATAAGTGCTACGTTAGCTGGAGGCTACGCAGGCATCCGATGAAAGAAAACAGGCGACGGAGCGTGGCTCAAGCTAAAAAGTATCCGGACGCGACGCCATTACGCGGTCGCTCATCGCCCACCCACCGAGCTCCCGTGTGCGTCCTAACGCCACCTCCCTCGTTCCGTATGTGTATACGTATATAGCGCACGAACCCCCAGCAGCAGCCGCTCGAATGTCTCGGCCATATTCTCGGCGCGATATACCCCTGCTTTTTTCTTTCCTTTTTTCATGCCCAAGGCGACGAGCATCTGCGGTTGAGATAAAGTGTTTTTATCGCGCATGAGTGCGAGCAAGGCAAGATTACTCGAGATTCGCGCAGAAAAAAGGAGAAAGTATATTCTCAACTGAGCGCGAAAAACGGGTTGAAACTCACAGAAGGTAGGATTTAATTGGACAAGAAAGGATCTGAGGGAGTTGTATTTCTCGACGATAACATACTAGCACATGCGAGAAAAGAGAAAGGTTTACGCCCAACAGAGACATCTTAGTTTTTACGAGGAAGATTTATTTTTGGTTTTATTGCGGTACTTGAGTGAAGTGTAGGTTGCGTCCTTAAGATCAGATAACATTCATTAGCCTGGCTCGTTAGTTAATCTGAAAAAAGACCATATCGATGTCAGTAACGAACGATTCACTGAGCCGAAAAGTCTTGTCGCTTATCGCATGCCAAGTCCATATTTACGTTTGAAAGAAGAGTAATCCACGCCGCTCGACCGTCTACCATTTGAAAAGCCACACGAGATGTACAGGGCCCTCGTTGCAGACGAACAAAGAGAGGTCTCGGAATCTCTGCACGCGCAAAGATGTCAAGACACGGTGCGATCTCTGGAGATCCCTTTAAACGCATTAACCTGCAGCTTTTTGCAGGAGCTCGTGCAAGAGACAAAAAGGGCCCGCGCGCAACAAACTAGTTTGCCCGTTATAGCCGTAGCTGCCATTGGTCGGCCCGTACACGAAGGCGACTCTGAGGGGTCCCACGATCTTCTGTTTACCACCACCGCTCTGTCGATTGTCCAGCAGGAGCCTCTGCCTGTCGGCCAGTCAGTTGATTTGATACTTTGGCGAAGAAGAGTGCAGTGCTGTCTAATCACGTCGGGAGACGGGACAAAGTTTCACTGATAATCGACTTTGGCGAACGTCTACGTTCACATTTTTGTGTGATATCTCATTAAAACTAATCAACAAGTGTTTGAATGAGCAC